CAGCTTTGGTTATCAAACTCTCCTAACACCATCGCCTTAGCTGCATCAGATCCCATAAAAGAATTCCCTGGAGACATAAATTGTCCTCCCCTAAATGGACATTCATTTTTCCAGTGTCCTTCCTGTTTGCAGTATGCACGTTGATTATATCCTAACCTTTCTACATTCATTCTTGCTTTTGGATTACAAAATCCTCTTCCTCTAGGGTTAGAGAGACGCTGTTCTCTCCCCTGGGTTGCTGCCAACAAATTCTGCTGCTGATCGTTTTCAGGTAAATAAATCTCCAGGTGAGAAGAGTACTTTAATGCACACCAGTCCTTCTGTCTTAAAGGCGCAAGCACTCCTCTGGACGTCTGAGCCTGCACTTTTCTTTTTATTTTCCCTCTGTCGAGTTCTATGCGAGACTGGGGTAATAGGGAGGCTTGCTTTCTGATCTCTTTTACACTCGCAACTATCCAGACTCTCGAGATCACTATCACTCATCTTCTCCCCCCCTTTCTTCATTTAATGCTGGCGGGGCTGACGGAGCGGCTGCCAAATCCAAACTTTCAATATCGCTCCGGTGTTGTAAGCTATTGTCTAAAACAAGGCACTTCATACATTTTCTCAGTAACACATTCCTTACACTGTTCATTAACATTTACCTTTGCACCCATTATTTCACAAGATTTTTGCCACTCACCATTATTTCTTAAAGAAAAGAATTATATATAACACCTTGTCCCATTTTCTTTCCTGTTATAACATCAACTGCAGTATAGTATTATACTGTAAAGTCCCATTTTTCAGGTCATTTCTCCTGATCCCCCAGTTCATACTGTGTTCACCATACATTACAATAATTAATTAATTTGCTTTTCAGCATACTCTGCCCAAATCCACCCTCCTTCCAATGGCTTAAAATACAGCCTAATGGAGAGGACTTGGGAACCGACAGCATTTTTTTTTTTTCTCTTTTTCTCTTTTTCCTTTTTTCTTTCCTCTTTTTCTTTTTTTTCTTTTTCTTTTTCCTTTTGTTTTTCCTTTTTTTCCCCTCTTTTTTTTTTCTCTACTCCACACACACCACACACTCGCCACTAAGTTACAACATTTAGACAGACAGATGCTGATCCCGCAGTACAAATACCAATACCGATACCAATACCACTTCTGCCGAACCTGCAGAGCTTTCGCTACTGTCTAACGGACGGCGCCTAGGCTTTTACCCCGGGAGCTCCCTAGCCCCAACCAAGCGCAGCTTTCGCCGCGTCTAACAGGCAGGCTTTACCAAATCAGACTTCGCAAGGCCAGATGCAGCTTTCACCGCATCTCTCTGGTAGACCTTTTGAAGCCAGAGTTTCACCAAACCAAGCAGGCTTCGCCTACAGCCAAGCTTATCAGAAGTCTGTACCCTTACACTTTACCAAAATTCGGTACCATAATTACCAAACCATACGAAAATTCGGTACCTTAATTACCATACCATACGAAAATTTAATACCGTAATTACCAAACCATACTTTACAAAATCGGCACTGTGACCGAATCAGAAAAAAAAGAAAAAGCACCTTTCCTTACCATATCAGAGGTCCGTCGTGAGCAGCGGAGGTCGGTCGCGGTCGATGGCTCCCCGAGAATCTCTCGGTGCCGGCTGGAGCAGGACCGAAACGCGATCCGCCTCAGCAGTGCCCGCGAGGTCCCACCTGGGTCGCCAAAATGTTAGCGTAGGAACTGACACATAACCACCGGAATGGTTATATGAGGTGCTTTATTGCAGCGCTGGGAAACCAGGGGCACGCGCCCAAATCTGGCTTCGGTCTCGTCACATCGCGTTCGCAATTTATACAGTATCCGACACAGATTACATCATTAATCACGCGTATGCCCTACATCAGTCCATTGCGACATCAGCCTCTTCTGCGCTTGCGCAGCCCCCCTCTGGTGGTCGTCCTGATGAAGTAAGGAGTCTTCCTCGGATGAAGTAAGAAGTCTTCCTCAGCTTGTCCTTTTCACTTTCTGTTCTTTGGACGTGTTCCCACCATTATGTGGAGGTCAGCTGCCCTCCTATTTCCCCTTGACTGCCTTTTGGTGTACCTAGGTTCTACTTGGATAGATTCTTACAATATACTTTCCTAATTTATCACTTATACCCTTCACCATACACAGGTGTGTTACTTTCTGCTACCAAACTACCATTGTATCATTCGTTATAGAATAACCCTGGTATGAAACTAAAAGTTTCGACAGAACCATTCTCTGATTTATGGATTTCTCAAATAATCATTTCTACCAGTTATACATATATAACTACTCTATCTTTTCAAAATTTTTACTCTTTTCCAACACCTGTGTCTGCCTTCCAAGACATGGGTGGTGCGGTCAGAGCCTTTGCTAGTGAAGACCGAGTCAAAGAAGTAATTCAGAACCTCAGCCTTCTCCAAATCCTGTGTAGCTAGTTCACCCGAGAGTGTCATGAGGGGCCTACGTTCTCCCTAATCTGTTTTTTATTTGCTATGTACCTCTAGAATCCCTTCCTGTTATCCTTAATATCCCTAGCCACGTTTAATTCTAACTGGGCCTTAGCTTTCCTAACCTGGTCCCTAGCTTCCCGGACAATAACCCAGGCTGCCTGTCCTTGCTTCCACTTTCTATAAAGCTCTTTTTTCTTTTGAATTTTCCTCAGGAGCTCCTTATCCATCCAAGGAGGTCTCCTGGCCCTCCTGCTGCACTTTCTTCTAGTTGGGATGCAACACTCCTGAGCTTGTAGCAGGTGATCCTTGAAGGCCAACCAAGAGTCTTGAGCCCCCCTGCCCTCTATGGCTATAGCCCATGGAACCTTACTAAGCAGGTTCCTGAAGAGGCTGAAGTCTGCTTTTTTGAAGTCTAGGGCAGTGAGCTTGCTGCACGCTCTTCTCACTGTCCTAAGGATCTCAAATTCAATCATCTCGTGGTTGCTGCATCCAAGGCTGCCCTTGTTGTGCAGGACAGTGTCAAATGCCTTGCACAAGTCCAGGTAGATGATGTCAGCTGCTCTTCCTTTATCCATCAATGCTGTCACCCCATCATAGAAGGCCACCGAAATTCGTCAGGCATGATTTGCCCTTAGTGAAGCCATTTTTGTTATCACCAACCACCTCCCTATTTTCCATGTGCCTCAGCATAGTTTCCAGGAGGAAACTCCATGATCTTGTTGGGCACTGAGGTGAAACTGACTAGTCTCTAGTTCCCCAGGTCTTCCTTGTTTTCTTTTTTAAAAATGGGATTTATTTTTTCCCTTTTTCCAGTCAGCAGGGACTACACCGGATTGCCATGACTTCTCAAATACGATGGATAATGGCTTGGCAACTCCATTATCCAGTTCCCTCAGGACCCACAGATACATCTTGTCAGGTCCCATGGACTTGTGCACCTTCAAGTTCCTTTGATGATTTTGAACCTGATCTTCTCCTACAGCAGGTGGTTCTTCATTCCCCCACTCCCTGATGTTGCCTTCTGGAACTTGAGCAGTGTGGCTGGAGCTGTTGCCAGTGAAGGCCGAGGCAAAAAAGTCATTGAGTGCCTTGGACTTATCCATGTCCTGGGTAACCAGTTCTCCCATTTCCTTCTGGAGAGGGCCTACATTTTCCCTTGTCTTCTTTTAATTCCCTGTGTACCTTTAGAAGTTTTTCTTGTTGCCCTTCAGGTCCCTGGCCAGATTTAATTCTGTCAGGGCTTTATCTTTCCTAACCTGATCTCTGGCTGCTCAGAGAATTACTCTGTATTCCTCCCAGGCTACCTGTCCTTGCTTCCACCCTCTGTAGGCTTCCTTTTTGTGTTGGATTTCTTTCATGTTCTCATGTAACATGTTACAAGTAGGTATAGTTGGTTCTCAGGTGTTGCTTTTTTTTCTTTTGGTTGGTTGGGTTTGGTTGTTGTCTTTTTTTGAGAGAGAGAATAAAGCTTTGGAGATTTTATTGTCAACAAGCGATAACTTCTCTGACTCTTCACCCTCCTAAGATCAGTAAGGGCTTTGCAGGTATAAATGATGCCACCAAACAGAAGAAAACCCAAGATTGTGTTCTCACTATATCTGGTATTTTGTTGGGAAAACTATTGCCAGGCTGCTTCTCAACAAAAGACAGCAGTAGTGGATTTTTGTTCTGTAACAAAGTTTAGACCTCTCCCCCGTTTCAGGGCTACTGTGTACTGTTATTTTTTCTCCAGTTCTGCATACACATTGGTATGTGCAAATGTAATATCCCAGAACTGACTATTGTTCAACATTCAAATGAGTCTGGTTTTGCCCCTTTGAAGCTTGAATACCTCCAAGCTGAATGCTGCTGATGGTGGCTACTGTAACTGAAGGAAGTCTTAAAAAGAAACTTGTATCCATAAGCCTAAAGAAAAGGCTTATGGAGAATCACTTAAAGTAGTTAAGAATATTAATGATGCAGTAGTGATTTAAAGACAGAAGGTCTTGGCCAGCATCATGCTTTTGAAGCAGGCAATTTTAGTATTAGCTTTCTTGCCAAGTTCCTGGAGCATATAGGAATGGTTGAATTTTGATTTCAGTGGGGTTTTGAGCATGTACTTCTACGTGAGCAGATGTGTATTTTTTGTGGGGTTTTTTGGTTGTTTTTTTTTTTCTCCTTCCTTTGAGAACATGACAACGGGATATGTCAGGAGTAGACTGACCTAACAAATTTCAGTTATTAGATTTCACTTGCGTGTTCACATTCCTGTTCTCAGGAAACTGCTGTTTATTATCTTGGGTCTCTGTCTGTAGTTTCTTCATAGTAGTGTTCTCACAAAAGCAGTTAAGAAACTTAGAATATGAGTCACCTGGCATTAAGAAATAAGTCTCTTGGCTTATTCTCACCATAGCTTTAAATAGTCTTATATATATTTCTTCCTCTTGCCCCAAAGAAACAAAATTACTGTGGTAGTGTAGTCTGTTTTTGCAAACACATTTTCCAATACTGATAGTGTCTTCTGGGCCCTTAAAACTTACAGAAGATTTTTTTTTTTTATATATTATGTAGTATATGCTTCAAAGGACCCAGGACCAAGATGAAAATGTGGCTTTGGAGGCTTGTGAATTTTGGCTGACTTTGGCTGACCAGCCAATTTGTAAAGATGTATTATGTCGGCATCTTACTAAGTAAGTATTAGGAATTAAAACTCCTAGTTAATTTGAAATAGTCATCTTTAAACTTCAGTTGACTTGTTCCTGGTTACTCTTATGGAGACTGTATCTAACTTCTTGTATGCTTAGAAGGAGTTTTCTGTAGCTAGTTCTTGTACACAAAGGTCACTGAGAAGACTTTGAAGGATTTCAGAGTTGGCTCCAGAAGCAACCTGTGTCCTTTGCCTCATCAAGTATATCCAGGTCCCTGAGCGAAAGCAATGCCACAAGTGGTTTTGTCTTTATCTGAAGCAGGAATAACCCAGACTATCTTCCCTAGCAGATTCTTTACGCGCACCACAGGAACTTTATGCCCCTCTGCATTACGTAAAAATTCTGCTTGGGCTGTGCCAGCCCTGTTGGCAGATTCCCTATTGTTTACCAACCAGGTGGCCTTTGTTAAATGTGTATCCCAGTGTTTGAAAGTCCCACCATCCACTGCTCAGTATAGTTTTTAACGTCCCATTGTACCGTTCAGTTTTCCCAGAGGCTGGTGCATGATGGGGGATGTATTTGAGGTTTAAACATCTGTATGCCTGCAACAGTGCTCATAACTTTTCCAGATTAATGTGAGTACTTCTGCAATAGGAAATGAATTCTTCAATGTTCCCAGTAAATGGGGACTGGTTTTGACATATGCATGGAAGGGTTTTGAAAATACTAGAGCATTTTTGTCTGTGATTCTGTTCTTCCAGTCAAGATATTGAGAGAAGAGATGCATTCATTTTCCACCTGTTGGGTATTCTGGTGTTCCCCAATGGCCCGACTCAGGAGGTGCATGAGTATCTACATGGCATACCTTCACCACCAGGTTCTGCACCCAGGCTTGCCACAGTGCAGCAGCCCAGATGTGTTTACCTCTGCATTGCCAGTTGCTCTGCTTCCATTGCTGCACCCACCCCCACAGGGCATTTGCCACCATCCATGAGTCAGTGTAGAGATAAAGTATTGGCCATTTCTTTCATTCAGCAATGTCCAAGGCCAGATGGATGGCTTTCACCTCTGCAAACTGACTCGATTCACCCTCTCCTTCAGCAGTTTCTGCAACTTGTTGTCGGGGACTCCATACAGCTGCCTTCCATCTCTGATGCTTCCAAAGCACTGGAGGGGCCCAGTGGACTAGATATTTGCCCATACTGTCCCACACTACTTGCCACTCATGACTGTCCATCCTCGGGGAAAATCTCTTGGTGGTCCTCCTATATCGTTGTCTAATCCTAGATAACACTTGAGCCAGACCCTGCTTAGCTTCCAAGATCAGACAAGATCAGGCACTCTTCAGGGTGGTCACGCTGTAGGCAAAACATAGAGAGCATATACTGCAACAAGCTGTTTCCCAGTAAGAGTAGCAGGGTGCTTTCAAGGGCATTGAAAGGATATTCAGGATCTTTAAATCTTCCAGAATCTACTCCCACTGTAAATAGTCTGGTGGGGGAGCAGAGGGTGTGAGGGAATATCTCCTTCATAGGCTGACCTTCTGAGGAGGGAAAAAAAATATGTGTAATTGCTAAACACTTCTGTTATACCCCTCCCAAAGTATAGAGGTGATGACCACACTGGGAATGCAAGCCAGATCAGTTTCATGATCAATGAGTCTATTGTATTATAAGTCATTGCCATGAAGTACAGTGAAACAGGAACTTGAGTCCTGGCCCCCCAGCCGATAAACACTAAAACAGCAAATACAGGCTGTAAGTAAGGTATGACATGCTGAAACTCTGATATCAAGAGCAACAACTTTGAGAGCCAATAAATCAGCATTATGACGAGCGACTACTAATCCGAAATAATGAATACTTATCACAAATACGATTAGACACACTCCAGTCAGATCTGTCATTATCTCAACCCTTCATGCCCCACGTTGGGCACCAAAAAGAACTGTTGTTGTTTAAACCCAGCCGGCAACCCAGAACCACGCAGCCGCTCGCTCACTCCACCCACTTCCTCCCCCTGCTCCCAGAGGGACGGGGAGGGGAATCAAAAGAATGTAACTCCCACGGGTTGAGATAAGAACAGTCCAGTAACTAAGGAATAGCACAAAACCACTACTGATACCACTAATAATAATAATGATAAGGGAAATAAGGCAAGAGAATACAACCACTCACCACCCGTCGACTGATACCCAGCCCAACCCGAGCAGGATCTACTCCTTCCAGGTAACAGCCCCCAGTTTATATAGTGGGCATGACGTGCCGTGGTATGGAATACCTCTTTGGCTAATTTGGGTGAGGTGTCTTGTCTCTGCTTCCTCTTTTTTCCCTTCTTCCCTGGCAGAGCAGGAGAGTCAGAAAGTCCCTGGTCAGAGTAAACATTACTTAGCAACAACTAAAAACATCGGTGTTATCAGTGCTGTTCCCAGGCTGAAAGTCAAAACCACAGCACTGCACCAGGTGCTAAGAACTAGAAAAATGACTGCTACTGCTGAACCCAGGACAATCACGAACTAGAAGATAGAGAAGCCAAGCATCTAGGGTCACTTGCTAGGGAAGGAGGAACTGACAAAGCGATTGCAAAGGAGAAATGAACCCTCAGCCTTTGGAGTCAGCTCTTGGCAGCTTTGAAGGAAAGGTTTCCCTATAAGGATGATGTTATGAGTCACTCAGGCAAGTGGACCACAACAGAGAGGCATCCAGTACCTGAAGGAATCAGCCATTCTAGAGATGATAAGCTGGATGATGGGAATGCACCCATAGATCAAGATGAAGCTGAATGTACATGACCCATGTGGCGGAAACTTATACGGCGTGCACCGCCATCATATACCCACTCATTGGCATCAATGACCAGGAGAGAGGTAGCTCCACCAACTGTGGATGAGTTGAGTCATCAACTCCAAATGTTTGAAGACGATCTCACCCCTTCCATCATTTCAGCTGTGGAAAACTCCTGACCCAGGAGTTCAAACAACTTAGAGAATTTATCCAATCTATCCAGCTCCCCAGGTATACCAACCCCCATCTCAGTTATTAACAGAAGGTGACCTATAGCCCAAGAGAGAAGATATAGCAGGTACATGCCACGGGTCACCCTATGGTTTTACCTGTGATATGGAGAAGACACGAGAAAGTGAGATAGAAAACCTGCCTCAGCTCTGGAGGAACGGGTGAGTGAACTGAAGAGGAAAACAGTGGTCAAGGATGATCCTTCAAGAAATTTGGTGCTATAGTCTCTGATGAGCAGTTTCCCAGATGGAGTGGAAGAGCTGATTTTATTTCAACTCCTGTGACAAGGAGTTGCGATCCTTTCTACAAGATGTAATTAGAGAATCTTATGATCACTATTAGAGAGAGACCTAGCCTCCAGCCAGGTGGAGGAGGGAAAATGGGGTTTAGTGGACTATGTGGATCAGATGGCCCGGCACATCAGTCCCACAGGGGTATAAGGTTCTAGTAGATACTGGCGCCCAGTTTACCCTGACACCATCAAGTTATCAAGGGGTGAAACCCATCTGTATTTCTGGAGTGACAGAAGGGTCCCAAGAGTTGACTGTACTGGAGGCTGAAATCATCCTAATTGGGAAGGAATAGCAAAAGCACAGTATCATGAAAGGTCCAGACACTCCATGCAGCCTTGGCATAGACTATCTCAGGAGAGGGTACTTCAAAGACCCAAAAGGGTACCAATGGGCTTTTGATATAGCTGCCTTGGACAGGGATGAACTTAAGCAGTTGTCCACCTTGCCTAGTCTCTCAGAGCATCCTTCTGTTGTGGGGTGGCTGAAGGTTGAAGAACAAGTGCCAGTTGAGACCACAGTAGTGCACCAGTGGCAAATTTGCACCAACCAAGACTTGGCAGCAGAGTGCAGGCCATAGTTCACTTTTACTTGGAGGGGCGTCTAGTACACTTGAAACCACCTGCCCAAGAGGTGGAAACACAGCCCTACCATTTGCCATAGATTGATCCAGACTGCACTGGAACAGAGGAAAGCTCCAGAACACCTGCAATACATTGATGACATTATCGTGTGGGGTGATACAACAGAAGTTTTTGAGAAAGGGAAGAAAATAATCCAAATCCTTCTGAAAGCCATTTTTGTCATAAAAGAGAGGAGATTCAATTTTTGGGAATAAAATGGCAAGATGGATGTCACCAGATCCCCACAGATGTGATCAACAAGATAACAGCAATGTCTCCACCAACTGATAAGAAAGAAACACAAGCTTTCTTAGGTGTTGTGGGGCTCTGGAGAATGCACATCCCAAATTACAGTCTGATTGTAAGCACACGACAAGCTCGAATAGGAAAGCCCAGACTTCCAGGAATTCTAGAAGTCATCATGGACCAGCCAGAGGGCAAAGATTTTGGAATGTCACCAGAGGAAGAGGTAATGCATCCTGAAGAGGCCCCACCATTTAATCAACTGTCAGCAAGTGAGAAGCAATATGCCTTGTTTACTGGTGGGTCCTGCCATACTGTGGGAAGAGATGCATTCTTTTCAGCAAAAATGACCATTTTATATGTTAAAGCTTTTTTCTTTTTTTTTTTTTTTTTTAAAGGAGGTGTTTGTCAAAATTTCAGTTTTTATTAGCAGTTAGCAGAGAACTGAGATCAAAACACCTACTGTAGCCATACAGGAATAGGAGTTGAAAACAGGAGAGCCAATGTTATGAGAAATTATTTTTAAGTTTTAAAATGTTTTTTCTTAACTCCTACTTTTAATATTAAATATCCACATATTAATACTTGTCAATTTCTCAGTATAAAACTTAAACATCTTATGGGCTACATGAATATTGACATTACAACAGCTTCATCCTTGGTTGTGGTGGGTTTTTTAAGGAGCTTTTAAATTTTTAGAAAAACGGGTAAGAGTAACATTACATATCTTTCAGCATCATGTTTGTTGGAGAGTCCTTTTTGACTAGGAAGCTTTGTAAATTTGCCAGTACCTGATGATAACCTTAAATTATTTTTATATTAAGTGGGACAAGATCCTATCCAGCCTGATTGTTTAATATCTTGTTCTATATTGTTCCTATAGGCTTTCTTAAAAAATATATAGCTCCTGAATACTTCATGAAGTATGCTGCAGAAAATGTCAATGAATGTGTGTTAATCATAATAGTTACTATCCTTTCAATAAAAGTTCAGGCAGTAATGCACCTTTGAGATGTGTGAATGTTGTTGCTGGCCTGAGTACCTTCAGAAACAATACTCCTCAGCTGCAGAATTGCAGAATTGCA